TATAATTCTTACAAGTGATTTTTCCACTGCACCTCTTCAGGGTGTAATCCAGAAGCAAAGTCTCATTACCAAATAGCTCTTTGGTCTCGAACTTCATCATTTCCCTTTTGGCATTTTCCTTTTTGCAGTATCTTCTAATGGGTTCCTGCATTTCTCTCACTTCCAAGTCACAGGTGTCGTAGTGGTGGGAGCAAAACCACATAACATCTGTGTGTGAGAGAAGGGGGGCAAAACCACATAACATCTGTGTGTGAGAGGGGGGGAGGGAGGAGAGAGAGAAGCAGTACTGAAAACAGGCTGAAATGCAGGAAAGGGGTTGTCAGTCTGTAATACTGCTCACAGCTTCCATCCAAAAAAACTCTAATCCGTAACATTTCCCAGGTTATTGTTGTTGTTAAGTCAGGTACAGCAGGTTTCATTCATTCATTCATTCATTCATTCATTCATTCATTCATTCATTCATTCATTCATTCATTCATTCCCTTTATATCACATACTTCTTTCCATGAGCTCAGGACTCTCTACATGAGACTCTGCTTTATCCCTACACTGTGAGGCAGGTCTGGGTTAAGGGGTGTAACTGGCCAAAATCATGCACGGCTCGGTAGGAATTTCAATACAGATCTGTTGAATGGCACTCTTCACGCAACACCAGACCATGTAGAAGATTTCAGAAAATATCCTTCTTTCCCTAAGAATCTAGACACCTACTGGATCAGAAGGATAAATCAAAAGCTTGCAAAAGTAACTGTCTGGATAACCTGGGAGGTTATAGAAGTTGTAGTCTCCAATTAATTTTTCTATGTTCTGGAATCTGGACAGATCATCTCACTGGGTATAAAGCAACTGGTGCTCAGGTGGCTAAAGCCTCTGATGCTGTATATGAGCTACGAATAACTGTTGATTTGTTAGTCAGTTGAAATCAGTATGAAACTACTTTCTCCTGCTTGTCCCATACTGTTGAAACTGTTGGGCATTTACTGAGCCCCACACCATTCCAGAGGCTCTGCTACTGATCTTCCAAGCCTTTTGGCAATGCTCCTGTTGTTCTTTAAAACAAAAGACTACAAACATTCCAACAACTTGTTGCCAAGGTTATTGGGATATTGATGAACATTCTATATCATGTCAGCTCCATCAAGCAGCCTGGGAAGATTTGCTGTATATGCTGTACCACAACCACAATACTGTACAGTACTTAGAAGTGGTACTTCTAAGCTTATGTTGGAAGTATGAAATTCTCCTATCCATGGGTGGATAACTGGATAATCCAGTATACTCTATTCTTCCTCTTCCTTGGTTTTCCATTCTTTTCCCCACCCTGTATCACTCCAGCTAAAAGTCAGCTTTTAGTGATAGACTAAGACTCTAGAGAACAGGGTTTGAATCCCTGCTCAGTCATGGAAATTCAATGGGAGAGCAGAATAGGTAAAACCACCCCCTAAGCATCTCACTTACCTTGAAAGGCGTACTGGGGTCTCTATAAGCCAGATCCAATTTGACAGCATAGAACAGACACACAAAGTTTGGAAAAATTGCATGTTTGATGACAAGTCCCCAAACGCCCAACCCACAATGTTCTCTGGGGACTCCTGGATGTGGTAGCCCCCAAAGGAGACAAAAGATGCCCACAAAATTGGACAACAACCCTCACAGGGCTTTTTGAGAGGGGGCTGTCTCCCTGCTAACATTTTTCCTAAAGATCTGTGGCACCCATCATATTTTGGGATTCCCCCAAACCATGCTGGTACATCCCTCTGTGTCAACAGTATCAGTTTGACTATAAAACAGCACTAATCTGAGGGTTGGGGTAGCCCATGTTATATACGATTGAGAAGCATTAGAAAATCCCATGACACCCACACCATCACAAGTTTATTCAACGAGGGCTACAGAGCGTTTCTGAGCTGGAACACTGGCTTCCTTCTAATCATGTGACTTAGCAGTTCCTTTAACTACCCTTAAAGGCAGCCTTACTGGCCATATCACTTCTAACCATGGTGGGAGAAGATTGTGGCCCCAAATACTGTATTTTTTGCACCATAAGACTCACTTTTTTCCCACAAAACAGGGGTGTGGAAAGTCTGTGCGTCTTATGGAGCGAAGAAAACAGATTATATTTTCCTGTTTTCTTCTCCTAAAAAATTGGTGCGTCTTATGGAAAGGTGCGTCTTATGGAGCGAAAAATACGGTATGTTGGGAGGTTTTTTTTTTCTTCCTTTAAAACATATTTTATTTATATAATTTTTCAAAGAAATTTTCCTTTATTCAAAATTAACAGGCCTAAGAAGAAGAGCTTTTAGAAGATTTATTTTTAACCATCATTTAACAATGGGTTTCCATTGATATAATTAAACAGATGCAAGGTGCAATGGAAGCAGTTCTCGGAAATAGTCATTTAATGGAAACCTCACCCACAGTTTCATATAAATGGACAATTGTGCAGAAGAACAAAACAGACCCCAATGAACTCATTGGAACAAGGGGGTGAATCAGTCTTCTGAATCTACTGAACTGAAGATTATCCTTTGCTATTGACTGTGCTTGCTAAGTTGTATTCCAGCAATTTCACAAAGGCTATCTCTTCTACCACTGTGTAACAGAACCATCCACATGATGAGTTAACACCATTCCTCCACTATCATCTTCTGGAACCTGTTTCCCAGGAATGAAAAGGACTGGTGAAGAAGAGTCACAACCCAAGAAGGTGAAGAAGAGTAACAACCCAACAACCAAGTGCTGAAGTACAGAGTGGTCCAGAACAATGTGTTCAATGGTACCAAAGCCAGAGAAAAAGCCCAGGATAAACAATAGAAAATGGGGGGGGGGAACCCACTTCTCCTCTATCAGCATAATTCAACAAACAGGTTCATCCAAGAAGATCCGGTAGCAGATTGCCAGTTCAGCAACCTTTGACAGCTCAGTTTCGTCGGATTCATCGTGCCTTTTAGAGTGAAGCACAGGCCTCTTGACTCATGAGCCTTCTTATTGAGCAGATCTAGAAGCAGCCAAGCAAAGTCTGGGGCCAAAAAATCTCTCTGAACTCTTGCCTGTTTGGCTTCTGTGACATTATGATGGCTCATCACTGTGATATCAAAGGGTCCGCTCCCTGCCCTCATTGTCTTGGCCCTGAGATCTTGAGGAAGGGTGTGGAGCTCACCTGGCATTCCAAAGGTTCAGAGATAATGGAGAAAGGTAAACTCTCATTCTACCCATTGCTTTCAGAGGCCCTTCCATGAGAGCAAGAGGACACATTCAGCTCCCAGATTGTAAGAGGCTTTCCCACAAATGTTTGCAGCAGTCGGAGAGTGGAGGGCGCCTGGATTTCAACAGCTCAAAGACAGGAAGAAATCGGCCAGAGAGGTTCTGCTGCCTGAGATTGGGTATTGAGCAATCCAACACTTGAGCAGGAAAAAAAGGTCAAGGCAGATGGTAGCGGTGGTTGCAGAAGGGGACTGTGTAGGAGAGCGGCTGTGAATTTTCTAACATGTGTTTTCAGCCATTTGAGAAAAGAGAGACAAGATATTTGGAGTTGCACCTCTGGGTTCAGAATGTGGGGCAGCTCAATGGCTTCAGTGGGTTTTCTCCTTTGAATCAGAAACAACCTCATTTTGTACAAGCACGTTTTAGCGTCCCTAACTGGGACGTGACCATGGCAAGATGGATCCTTCCTCTGGCTGCTCCCAGAGCACACATCTATTGAGCCTAAAAGCAGAGCACAAACTAACAGGCACCGATTAAACCCACCTTAAAACTTCTGTTTTTGACTCCAGAAGTGCTGGTGTTCATGCCTATCTTTAGGCAGGATTTCTAATTGCGTTCTAGCTTGTGATCTCTAACTTCTTCCTTGCTTCCTTTGAATACTGGTGCCAGTGGCCAGCTGTTGCATTCCCATCCAGGGTGAATCAAAGTCTTAAAAACACAACCCACCATACAACCTCTGTCCCAGGCCTGTATTAAGATGCTTGCTGGGAAAGCAATATAGAACCTTGTTTCACAAACCCATTATGCAGACAACACTTTGCCAGGATCTGAAGCATCAAACTTCAACAGACTACACTGTGGCCACCGCTGAGACTCTTCTGGATGACTGTAGCAAAGAATAATGATCCTGATGGGAGGGGAAGTCATGCAACAGCCTAGAGTGGCCATACACTCTGCTTAACTTCCAGATATTTCAGTCTGTGACTCATATGACTCTTTATTATTGGATGGCTGCAGGCTCTGAAAGTTGAAGTAAAAGCCTCTGGAAAGCAGGCATGCGAACCCGAGTCACAAGATTCACTGTCAAGTTGGATTTAAATTGCATTGGCAACTTGAGTCAGATTCAACTTGTTTCTTTTTTCAATGAGATGGACTCAACTTGCAACTTGGAACCCAACCACACATTCCCTTTCTCCTGGGGAGGGGAGCTTGTTTTAATCAGGACTCAGGCTTGGGGCTCAGGACCAAAGACTCAGACATGGACTTTGGACTTGGACCCAAAGACTCAGACTTGGGACTTGGACCCAAAGACTCAGACTTGGGACTTGGACCCAAGGACTCAGACTTCGGACTTGGACCCAAGGACTCAGACTTGGGACTTGGACCCAAAGACTCAGACTTGGGACTTGGACCCAAAGACTCAGACTTAGGACTTGGACCCAAAGACTCAGACTTGGGACTTGGACCCAAAGACTCAGACTTTGGACTTGGACCCAAGGACTCAGACTTGGGACTTGGACCCAAAGACTTGTCTAGATCCCTGCTTGAAAGCCAAAGGTTCTCCCACCCCTGCTCTGCTTACAAGTATCTTCTATTGGAAGAGGGGCTAAAAGATCAAGTCTATGTTAAGGTTGCAAGTCTAAGCCAAGTTGCATGTTATTTCACTTATTATTTTGCACATCAAAGGTCACAGCACTCCACTTCCTCCTCAGGAACCCAACAGGAAATGAATGGAAATAGCATTAACTCAAGGTGAGGCCAGATTCATCTTTCCCATTAGAAAGTAAGAGAAGCACTTTTTAAAAATAAAACATGCGTATTTATTGGCAGATGCATTTGGTCCAACAATCGCAAAACAAGTGAAATGAGCAGTTAAAATAAATATTGAGCTAACTGGCCAGAGAGAGTCTCATCCTGCTCCTAAGCTCTATGTATGCCCACATGCACTCTAATGACCACATGTTACGCTGTTCACTTCTGGCCTCAATGGGGAAGTCTTTGCACATGAGAGAGCATCACAGGGGAGCAACGCAGCTGCAACGTGTGCATGGAAACACACACGGTCAAAGCCACAGTTCAGCTAACAGTAAAATGACAACATGCCTTTTTAAGACAACAACAAAAAATCTACACCGCTGCTAAAATCAGTAAACACACAAGCATGCTAGGTTTATATTGGTGGCATCTTATATAAAGATGCTAAGGTCCTTAGTACAAAGGATCAAAGACGCAAAAATCCTAATACTTACACAGAATGAACTTCTGGGCATAGAGAAAGGATACCTGTGGTTCGGGATTTTGCTAGTCATTGTCGTTTTGTAGGTTAGCTGCTTAGTTTAAAATCTTGGTCAGCATCGGAGAAGCTGTCCTTTCCCATCTGAATGTGGCTGGGATATCCTTATGAAATTCCAAGTGGTAACATACACAATACTTCCTTAATGTTGCAATCTCAGCACAAAACTACGATTGTCCAAGCCAAAATCCATGGCATATAAGATTTGCGGCATTCGCCCAGGCATGTCAGTGGCAAGAGTGTTCTGTACATGTGAGGATAAATCCACTATTAGTCACAAATGGAGGAGATCCACTAAAGCAGATGGGACTTATTAACCTCCATCCCATTGATTTTAAGGTTACAAGCCTAGTTAGAAATGGAAGTGGATTTAGCCCATGGGATGATTGCCTCCATAGACTTGAATGGGAGGCCATTCTGCACACATTTGAAGAAGGAGTCACGGTTTTCAAATATTCCTAAGTAGATACTTCCCAATAGACTCCATGCTGATACAGTCCTATTAATGTGAATATTAACACAGCTCATTCCTAAGAAAAAGAAAAGAAAGAAGAAAGAAGACAAAAATGTCATGGCATCTAAGAAACATGATGCCATAGTGTGAATTTTGTGCCTTTTCTCTAAGGATCAACAGATCACAAATACTTCTTCTATTCCCACAGGATATTCAGCATCCTGTCCCTTATATATTCACAAGAGAACTGAATGTCAAATTAGGCAATATACTTAACATTTGTTTAAAAGCAGTTCTCCTTCAGGCGGTGAAAGAGAACTGTTTGTAATATCTTGTGTTTTTCCTCACCTCTGTATTTTGCATTAAGTGTGCATTATTTTTAAACTGGTCATTGGAAGGTAAGCAATTCCATTAACATCTAGTTTGAGCTTTAAAATGGATTGTTGTATTTCCTCCTTAGAACCCTGGCTATACTGCCGGAGGTTTCTGAGAAGAGTGGTCCTGAAAATGAATTTTTTTTTCCCAAAAACTGATCCAACAGTTCTATTCTGTTGTCATAATTAGAACATTTTAGTTGCTGAGAACACCTTCCTCATTAAATAACACAAGAGAAATAATATGTTTCACATTGTTTTAAAAAAACGAAATGAGCTTACAAAAAGATCAGGCAGCAGATAAGGAAAAAATCTCTTGACTCTGCCTTAATCCCTGAAGAGCTAAAAAAATAATCCTGTACAACTACTCAGTAGAAGGTAAAAAACATTTTTTTTACTACTTCCAGGGTTCCCTGGATGCAATAGGAGTTTCTAGGAGCTGAGATCTTTTGAGAGTCACAGTTCAAGCAAATAACTTTTCCAAAGGTGGTCTTGTATTCTTCGCTATTCCTCACAATCAGATTTTAAGCAATTTACTTACAGCACTTATTTTCTATGCAAACAAAAGTCAACCTCTAAAAAGTAAAATCACTGCACAAGTATATGCCACCTATACATACACAAAATACATAGACATATGGAGCATCTTAACAAGGCACAAAGCTACCTTGGTATCAAAGTTTTCTCCTGTCAAAGAGGATGGGAAGACTTAGATTCCCACCTATGAAAAATGAGTTCACCTCTTAGTCTTATATTTTTCTTGTCGGTTTTTGGAAAACATAGATGGCAAAGCAGGTCTAAGGCACTTGAAGAGCAGTTTCTTTCCAGTGGTAGAAGAGTTACAGCCGGGTTCAATGATATGTATTCGTCGCTTGATGAGTTTCTCATTAAGGAATGGCTTCATCCTCAGAGGATCAGGTTGTTGGCGGCTGGCTACCAATCAATTGTCCATGGACACAAGGCTTATTTCAACAGAACCCATGTGTTTAGCTGCCACTGGTGGTGTGTGTAAAAATCAGGTGATTTACCTGCATGTCTGTAAGCTGTAACCATTCATCATGTGAAGTATACAGAATTCTTCCACTGAGGCATCTATGGGTTTGCACTAAATCAACCTGTCTCAACCGGACAACATCCAAATGTCCAAAGCTATGAAACTCATCACCACCCAACAAGTATGCCAACAGTGAGTGTCACTCCAACACAACCGGAGGGCGCCATGTTGCAGAAAGTGGTTCTATACATTTTTTATCTTGATAAATCATAGACACAACAACAACACTCCCAAGGACTGGTAGTACTTGTGGCCAATATAAGCAAATATGTTCCTGGCGGGGAAGGAACCACTATGAAATCTCCATCCCATAGATCAGTGCTTCCTAACCTTGGGTTTCCAAATGTTCTTGGGCTGCAACTCCCAGAAATCCTGGCTAGCACAGCTAGTAGTGGAGGCTTCCAGGAGTTTTAGTCTGATAATATATGGGGACCCAAGGTTGGGAACCATTGCTTTAGATGCCAAAGGCCATGCTAAAAATGAAGAAAGTTAAATATTTTGGACTACAGCTCCTGGACCCAGCCAGCTATCATATTTGCCTGCAGGATTCTGAGAGCTGTTGCTCAAAAAGTAACTTTTTCCAGGCCCTGGTTTCAATTTACACAGGACTGCATTCAAAAGCCCAAGGAAAGGTGTAATCCAGGTCTCTTACAGTAAAAATTCTGAATGGGAAAACAAAATAACCTCCCGACATACTTATAGAAGTCTATATCCACATGCATAATCCAGAACAATTTCCCAAAAAGAAATCAGTACATAAGGATGATGCAAGATTCATATCAACTAAGTCTCTTTTAAAAATCGGTTGTTACATCGGCTAAATATCCATGAAGAAGTCTCAGACAGTGATCTGCTGGTTTTCTCTGAAAACAGGTCTCTGGTGGGGCACACAGGAATCCTGAAAGTTTCTGTACATCAGGTCATAATGAACTTCTCCCCCTGGATGGATCAGGCTGTTGCCCTCATTCTTCCCAGTTTGCTCCAACAGCTGACGAATGCTCAGCTGCTCAATCTGCAACCAAAAGACGAGAGAGCTTTCCTTAATCAGTTGGTACCTTTAAAGGACTACACAGTAAGGGTTTTACATTCATCATCAATTAAAATGCATCAATTGGGTCATGGATGATCACAATGACACAATATCAATTCAGCATTTTCTGGAGCTGAGATAGGATAGAAAAAATACTCACAAAATTCCTCACTCTCCCTGATTTCATCTAGTAATGTAATTATTGTCTGGCATGCAAAAAAATAAAGTTTTGTAATTTTTGGGGGACTCAATATTTCTTTAGGGACATCAGAGGGTTTTTAAATTGTGGGTCATTTTACTGTTCACTTTATAAAATGGATTCTCTTCTTTCACTGGCACTGGTAAGAACAAAACATTTCCAAAGTTTTCTCCTTCCTGACTGGGTAAAATGAGAGTCTGAGCCCATTTTCCACATTTTTTGTACTTTTTTTCTAAAAATGTTCAGAAGGTATTTTTACACGCACACACACACACAAACAATTTGCAGAAAAATGTTTTACAGGGAAAATGCTTTTTGAATAAAATACAAGTTTTTCAACATAAATGTAAATGTTGCTGACAAAAAGTGTAAATGTTCCTGACAAAAACAAATTCGGTTTGTTTAATCTCATGTAGAAAAAAAACACCTCACAATGATTGTCCATTACCATGACATGATGTGTCAAAACTTAAAACTCTTGAGTATTTGCTAATCCTTGGACTACAATTCCAACCATCTTCCTCTGGCAAAAGGATGATGGTAGTTGTAGTCTAACGCATCTGGAGGGTGCCAAGGCTGGACAATAGACACAGGTATTCTTGACTGACACAGAATTACACAGCCAACCAGAAGCCATAATATTTTTAAACATTGGACAAATATTCTCCCACAAATACATGGGCTAGAACCCATCAAACAAGAAATATGTCATCAAATCAGGGCACCCTTTCCTTATTTGCAAGGGAAACTTGAATTTAAACTATAAAAAGTTGTGATTCTTGTTATTTCTAGCAGCTAGTTCATTAATCAATGCCAACTTCAAAGGGTATGCCAAACTCCAGCACTCTAGTTCATGAAAATCTGGCACTGAGCACTTATGAAAACACTGATATTTCAAACTGTTTTCTGAGATCTGTGTGGTTTAAAAACACATTTAGGCAATAAGCAGTTCCCCTTTGCCTCTTACACGTCATTGGACTCTTTGACCATTCTGCTATTGTCACATGAATGTTTGATCTCACCTATGAAGGTGAAGATTCCAAAGCACTTCCCATGTGTGATGTTCTGGTATTTATTTCATTTCATTTTTTTGGTATTATTTCTTCCTCTCCTCCTTTGATTGAATGACCTAAATGTACACTGACTTGCTTCTGGTGTTTCCTGAGGGCAACTTTCATCTCTGTAGTTGTATCAATGAATAGTTTAGAAGTTTTAAGAAAAGAACCTTAGGTGTCTATTTTAAAAAAGAAGGCTGAATCTCTCTCTCTTTTTTAAGTTCAAAAGACTGTGCTATTAAGGTGTAAACTTCTGAATTTTCTCTCTCTCTCTCTCTCTCTTTGTTTTTTAAGTTCAAAAGACTGCGCTATTAAGGTGTAAACTCCTGAATTAAATGTTGGGAAACTACAAGGGCCTCTTGTCTTTTGAGTGGCAGAAACCAAACTGAATACAGATGAGCGAATATAAATATCTGACGCCAGCACAAGTTGTATTTTTTTTTACCTCAACAAGGATCAGTTTGAAGCGTAAAGGAGTTGCATCTGGAAACTCCTCTCCAAAGCAGAGGATAACTTTGCTATTCGGAAAACGGCCTTGATTATTGTAATACTGGTGGAACTCTGTAAAAGGAAAAAAAACCATAATTTCATTAAAGGCAGGTGTACTTTGTCTCTGGACATTTGGGAGCTCAACAGCCATTAGGTTAGCAAAAAAAAAATGTTATCAGAAGTTCTTGGGGTGCTGAATGAAGAAGCATTCTGTGTCTCTCTGCCCATCTGTCTATACAGTGTGCATGCATGTGTAAATGCACCATATAACTGTAGAAACATGAAATACACAAGGCCAAACACAATTCCCAGAAGTTGGGAATGCTCCTTTTTCCCCCTGGTGATTGAGTCCAAAAAACTAAAATTTCTAACCTTTGATTCAGCATGGTCCCCCCTTAATTTTGCTTAAAGCTTAAGTAGTTCCCTCAACCCTCAATACATGCCCTTTTCATCCATCACTGATTTCACTGTTTGGATCATGCAAGGAGCCCCCCTCCCCTCCAACCCCAAAGAAACCCTAGGTAAATAAGCACCATCAGCTAACAGGTGAGGTCAACCTAGATTATGCACCTTTGCAACTAGACCAAGTAAGCACAGAAAATCAATGCTAGCTCAGAATTCGGCAGTGAGGGAGTCCCGGGGTTTTGGGGATGGGGTGTGGAGGAGATTCAGCAAGTTACTGGCCCTTAAGGGTGAAAACTTGTAAGTTTTGAAAAACTATAACAATTGATGGTAAAACCTCAAAAGAGAAGGCACGGGTAAAGGATGCCGTTGAAGAACTACCGCTGTATTTATGAGATTTCATCCCCCTCCCCATGAAGAACAGAAACAAAATAAATCACCTCTCCCCACCCTGGCATCCTCTCATCTCTTCATTGACAACATCCATATGCCTGGTCAATGTGGCGAATTGCAACATGGTCTGGGGGTGAGAGGTGCTTCTTTTAGTAAAATTATGGATCCATGCAATCCATGCAGTGGTGATTGTACTTCTTTTAGTGAAATTACGGAGACGTGCATAAACACGACAGGCAGAATTCCTCAACCTGCAACCATCGCCACTTGTCCTGAAATCTGTTGCATGCCAAGATCACTGTTACAATTCTGTAACATGTGCTAGTTGCGGAATTCTACCATATTACATTGCCATGCATTTTAAGTGTTGTTTCCGGCTGTACATAGCTCCAGTCCTAAATTCTCAGAGACAGGGGAAATGAGCTTAAAAAGAAAATAACCACCTCACTGACCTCTGAGAAAGTGGTTCGTGTCAAAAATCTTGACCACCTCATCTCTGTCCAGCTTGTTAGGCTTGTCCTTGTAGAGCATGGTGTTCCCACTCCAGAAGACCCTGCCTTGGCTCAGCCGCTTGATGAAAATACCCTGTTTGTTGCAATGCAGGAGGACACCTTTTTCCAGATGCCCAAAGAGCTTCTTGGTGATCTGCCTTTGCCGGTCACTCAGGATCACATCCGCTGACGGGAAGCACACATGTTCAAGGCTTTCCAGAGGGTAAGGCAATTCACCGAGGGAGATCCGGCAACCTTCCGGGCGCGTGGTGGTAGTGCTCCCCACCAGCTTCCCTCCATAATAGAAGTTGATCACCATCTGGCAATACCCTACAAAGTGATAAATAGCAAAACCCATTAAGGGGAGAAGTAGATGGCTTGCTTCTGAGCAAAAACCTTGGGGCTTATGCACACAACCATTCTGAAAATATGATGTTAGGAGGCAGGAGACACAACACCCAGAAATCAGAGAACAAAGTTAGCATTAAGTCTCCATCTGATCTAGGACAGAACAAGGAAAAATTACTTTCTGGGACCACAGGACCCAGAATCCATCAGCCACTGGCCACACTAGCCTAGGCATTCTAGTAGTTGAGTTTACTTCTAGAAAACCTGGGAAAGGGATGCCATATATTGGAATTCATTTGACAGCACACAATTATTATTTATTACTGATTAGAGAGTACTGGACTCAGGAAACCTGGGTCAAACTCTGCACTTGACCAGGTAACTATCATGCTCTTTCAGCCTGACCTACTGTGCAGGGTTGTTGTGAGAAGGAAGAGGAGTAAAGAAAGGCTGTAAAGGTGATAAATCAAATCAATAAACCCTAAACCATCAATACCTTCAACTAGAGTAGGCTCATCTCCTTATAAGATGCCCTGTCCTTAGACAGCACATGGTTCTGCAGCAGGGGCATGCTGGTGAATGTGGTTTGGTTTTGACTGCAGGTCCTGTAATCCCTCAACATCAGCTAGGCTGATGAAGGGTGGTTGGGGTTTTGGGGTTATAGCCATTTATCCCCTTTTCAAAATTACGGTTGGGGTTTTGGGGTTATAGCCATTTATACCCTTTTAAAAAATTACAATAATAATCATGAGCTGTCAAGTCAATTCTGATTTATGGCAACCTGTTTCCAGGGTTTTAGAGAATGGACAGAATTGGTTTATCATTCCCTTATTCTGGGGGTGGCCTGGGACTGTTCAGCTTGTCCAAGACTACAAAGGCTGGCTCTTCGTCCCAAGGAGCCACAGGGGTGAATTGAACTCCAAACTTCTGGCTCCACAACTAGATAGCTAAATCACTGAGCTATCTAGCCAACACATGCAAAACATCATCAGAAACAACAAAACCCTCTCTTTCTAAACGCTGAGACAGTGCTTCTACTCTCCAATGAGTAAGCCCTATCTAGCCAACACATGCAAAACATCATCATCAACAACAAAACCCTCTCTTTCTAAACGTTGAGACAGTGCTTCTACTCTCCAATAGCTCAAGCTGGGCCTGCTAAGCCCCCAATGTTGTTTTATTTCAGAAATACCATGGATTCCTGGTGTCTCTGAAATGCAACAGCCAAGTGTACAAACGAGGTGAAAAAGAACAGAGATAAAAGGAGAGCTCAGTGGAGTGGCTTTGAACAGAGACAGGAAGTTGAAGGGGTCACCATACCTGCATGAAGAGAGTCATAACTAGCAAATCCGCTCGCAAGGGACAAAGCTGTAAATTTATAAAAGAAACATGACGTAAGTATCTCTTCGTGCAAAACTGACTTGCAGATTTAGCTGCTGTCTTGTCAATTTCCTTTTCTATGCCGGAAAATGTGGGCTTATGAGTTGGCCCGACCCTAAATCAGACCCTGCATCTGTCTAGCACAGAGAGATCTACACAAACCTGAACAGTTGCTTTTTATGGACTACAGTTGCCAGAACCCAGTTTCCATAAGCCAACATGACCGAGACAGCAGTTAACTGAATGTCATTTTCATCTTGTCCCTCCCAGCACTTGGGAATTATGCCTTTTCTGGCTAGGGGACATTCTGCGTGTTGCAATCCAATGTAACCTTTATCTCAATTCTGTTAGGTACCTTGGCAGTGTGGGAGAGGTAGATCTCCAGACGATTTAGGAGTAGAACTCCCATCACTCTCAGCTACTCTGGCTAGAGTTGATGGAAAGGCCAATTCAGCAGAATCAAGAGAGCAACATTACTCTGGCTAGCAGAGACTCTCCAAAGTCTTAGGCACCACATTTTCTTTGTGCCCTTCTCTTCAAGGCTGAACTCCACATCAGAGATAGCCCATTATTACAAAAGGGAATTCCTTGACTGAAAGCATCTGATTGTCACAGCAGGAGTCTTTTCTCACGTCCGGTAGTTTGCAGATTAGCTTTCAGGCTGAACTCCACATCAGAGATAGCCCATTATTACAGCAGGAGTCTTTTCTCACCTCCTGTAGTTTGCAGATTAGCTTGCTTTCTTTTGTGATTGGCCTTTGGGAGACAAACATAACCTCTGTCTGCAAGTCTGACCACTCATGCTGAAAATCTGAAACACTAGCCTAATTTCAATTGGAACAAAAGGTATGCGGTTTATCCCTTTATAAGTCAATTAAAGGATTACTGCTTATTGTTGGTTTATTACATGCATAGCACTTAATATCATTTCAAATGTTAAAGCAGGCACACACTTTCTCCAGCTGCCCCCAACCTGGAAGCCCCCAGGAGCATTATCCAATCATCCTGCCCCAAGCCAACATGGCCTTAAGTCCTTACCAGGAGTTGACTGATGCGTCCACCAGTCTGGTATTGGCTGATTTCTGCAATTCTCCTGAAGTGGCGAAGGGCTTCGTTTTATTGTGCCAAGATATTCCTCCACACCTAAAGGGGGCTGGGAGTTTACAAGAGGGAAGACAAGAAGGTACATAAGTACAGAGATGACATTTAGTAACCTTATGGCCAGAATCCCATTGGGTAGATGCAGCATAAACCCAACATTGCATAACAGGTATTCCTGAGCGTTTCAGCTTTCCATCACTGATTTGAATACACGAAGATCATGCACTCCATTGCACATCCTGGTGCATAACAGATGGCCAGAAAACAGAGAACCGCTTGCCCGATTTCTCTTATGCGTGTGGCATTCTGAAACTCTGGCTTATACTCAAGATCTGGAGCCTGAAAGTGGTAATCCTGCTGCTCTGTAAGTCAAGATGTCTTTAAAAGGTCATTTCTTCAAGAACCCAATTGAGAGTGCCAAACCAACTAAACTTGTTGTTAATCCCACTAAGCATTGGTTTGCAATTGCACAATTGATTCAGGCCACACCTTGTTAGTGGCAGTTTGCCACCATAGTTGACAATATTATACTTACAGTGTTGTACCTAACCAATAGGATTCTGGCCATTGGATGGATGGATGTTTTCTAAATTTCCCTTTTTCTAAATTTCCAGACTACTTTTTTTCGGTGAAAACCACTTTCCTCTTGTCCTTTTCTTTGGGGACAGGGTGCTCTCCACCATGCATGAGGGCAAACTGGGTAGGAGACGGTACCCATTGATCTGGGTGGCAAAACTGCTAATTAAGGTTCTGGTAAAGTTCACAAAAGCCCCTTAAACAGCAAACGTTTCTCTCCCTGCCAAAAACAGGGTGAAACCATTTTCCGTCTATTTCCAAATGGATCTTGGAAACATTGCTTTTTTTGGGGGGGGGAGGCTACTGCTCCCAAAATCCTCCAACCCCTCCCCAAAAAAGCTGAACTTTTAATGTCTGCGTTTATCCATGATGTTCCCGCAATCTAGCTGCTAGATCCAAAATACTGATACCAGTGGTTTTTAACATATCTAGCACCCCTTTGACCAAAATCCTTCTGCTCCAAGTAAAGCAAAACCACTGAATCAACTGTGGAATGTAATTAATCTATGGCTTCAGTGGGTCTAGTTGGCTGGATAGCTCAGCGATTTAGGTCTCTGGCTGTGGAGCCAGAGGTTGGGGGTTCAGTTCCCCATCGGGCCTCCTGAGAGAAGAGCCAGGGCCTTGAGCAACCTGCACAGTCACCGAGTACCCCCTGATATACCACTTCCATGAATTCTCTACCTGGAAATCCCTGAAAAAGGCCACCAAAAGTCAAAAATTGACTTGGCAGAACATGATTGATTTCAATGGGTGCCCTTTAGTTTAGACTAACAGCTGGATAGATGCCCCGTGAATTCTGGGGCAAGTTGTTGTCCAGTCTGCCCCTTACATCTAGACTGTAACAACATGAATTCTCTACCTGGAAATCCCTGAAACATTTAATTAATTAAATATATAAATAAATAAGAAGACAGGAAGGCCCGGCGTGCTCTGGTCCATGGGGTCACGAAGAGTCGGACACGACTTAACGACTAAACAACAAATAAATAAATAAATAAATAAAGCAAATGCTGTTCATTCGTTCTGGGTGGGATGAGAAGAAATGTAACGCACAGAAATGTCAGTCTTATGCTCCCACACTAGCAGCTGTAGTACATAGGCAGATAAAAGTTGCAGTGCATTTATTCTTAGGTGGATACAAACGGCAACTAAATACTGCATTCCATGCATACCCAAAGATTAGTAAAAGCACACCGTTAGCAATCAAGAACAAGGAGTGTCTCTGCGTTGCACAGTAATAGCCAGTCTGACACCATTTTAACTGTCGTAGCTCCTTCCTATGGAATTACTGTATGGGGTTTGTCGTTTGGTAAGATTGTTGGAAATCCCTACTGGAGATCTCTCCTATAGTCCCCTGAACTACTGAGAGGAATTCTGCAAGGACCAACAAGTGATGAATTCCAGCATTCCGTAGGATGGAGCCCTGGCAGAGAAGTGTGGTATCAGACTGCTGTAACAGTAGCATGGCTATACTCTAGCTTTATTTGTTTTTTGTTTTTCCACCCTGCTCCACTCTGCTGCACACATGCAGTTGGACTGAGAGCTGTTTCCTTTAACTGTGTAAACAGAGAAACAGTCTTTAAAAAAAAGAATAAACTTTTTAAAGAGAATCAGCTACCTGAGCATGACAAGAGAGAGAGAGAGAAAGAAAGAGAAAGAGAGAAAGAGAGAAAGAGAGAAAGAGAGAAAGAGAGAAAGAAAGAGAGAAAGAAAGAAAGAAAGAAAGAAAGAAAGAGTTAATTACCTCTTTTATCAAGTCATCTATTGCCGAAGGGCTGCAGTCCATGTCTGTCATTTCATTCAGGCTGCTCCCGGTACCCATTCCCATCTTGCCTGCAAAGAAACACTAGTGTGTATAACAGAACAGAAAGCATCCGCCATGGCTTGTGTTTTAGCCCTGCATGAGAGGACCTCCCTGTGTCTCTGTATGAGTTTGTGAAAAGAGGGAAAGGAAAAGAGAAAAGAAGAGGAGCAAACAGATGGGAGCATTTCTATGAAAAGAAAGTTCTAAATTTCTTTCTGTTGAATCTGTAGAGCTTCAAAAATTTACTGTTTGGGATTACTGCTCCTAGTAACCATAGGGGAGAAGGAGGGAATTACAGGAGTTGTAGTGTGAAAAAAGTAACTTTTTCAAGCTCCAGTATTTAGTCTACTTCAGTCAAGACACGTGAGAATTTGTGAGTTGGTTCTTAGCCCCCAAGACCTGAAAAGCACATGGATATTTAAGTGTGTGTGTGTTTCAAGTTCACTCAAATGTCAAAAAAACACAAAAGAGTTTTTCTTTCCTTTTTGAAGTCTTTTGTGGCCTCTGAAATAGAATAGACTGGCGCTTCCAAAAGAGAGGATAAAGAAATTTCATATTTCCTCATTTAGAAGATCACAGGTCTTGTGAATCGTAACGATGAAATGTGATGAATCTGAAGATGCTTCTCTTTCTCATCTGTACTGTTCCCTGATAATGATGTTAATTAGGACATGGGAGTATTAAAAGAACAGGTACACAAAAGGACATGAAAATAGGAAAGAACACACAAAAAACACCCCAAAACGAAAGCGAACCAAACATTTTCCACTTGCACATCCCTAACAATGTGTGTTTGTTTTAGATTTCCTTAAAAACTACTCTTTTTTGCAGTTGAAGAAAAGTGCTCAAATTGCAGGGTATAGAGGACCGAGTGTGGGTAAAAGTGGCAAAAGACCCTGACATATAGGATGCCCTGTTTAACTTTTTAATTAAAAAAAACTTTTGAGGACTCAACATTTTATTTTAACTGGGGTCAGAGAGTAAGGCATGTGAGTGGCCTTGTGCCACAATGGTTAAACCGCAGTACTGCAGTGAAGACTCTGCCCACAGTCCGAGTTCAATCCTGGACTCAGGTAGCCAGCTGAAGGTAGACTCAACCCTCCATCTGTCTGAGGTTGATAAAGTGAGTACCCAGCTCTCGGAGGGGGGGAGGAGAGGGAAGGGCTATGTGAAGCTTGCATAAGTAAATTGCAAAACACCCAGAGAGTCATTTAAGCAGTATGAATTGGTATATAAGCAACACACTTTGCTTTTTTTCACCATTGGATGTTTTACCGGCTCCCTAGCAGGCAATAGTGGTTACTAGAAATGCTACAAAACCTGTACAAGAGGGTAACCGGCAGCAGCTTAGGTGCTACGCGGGAGATTTCTTGACAGCTCAATCGGGTATGCTTGAAAAGACACCACACATACAAAAAAAAAAACCACAGATAAAAATAAAACAGAGCACAGCTCATACAAATACCGGACATTTCAGAGGCAGCAGTGCTGTGTGTTGTTACTGTAACCACAAAACGCTGTTCTGTTTCATTCCAGCAAAAGGCAAAATGGAGGTATTGTGACTGTATCACTCTCATGACGCTATGGAACAAAGCCGGCTCTACTGTTGGCCAGAACGAGGAAACTTCAGCAAACGCTGGGAGCAGCAAAGGAAATCTCCCAGCTGTTCTTTCTCAGCCTTCGGAAATTTGTTTTAATTGGAATTGTATGCGCTGCACCCTTTAAACTCAGCCGCTCTCAGATGAGAAGCAGGGCTCTATCCCACTGCCACAGTTAAGGCAACATTCGACTGCCCTTCCAGGTTGCTTCTGTTTGCAGAACGCATTATGGTGGCTTTGGGGCAATCATTCTAAGCTAGCAGAGTGCAACATGTGCCCCTAACTATACTGTCACAGTACAACTCCCATTAGCCCCCATCATTGCTGATGCTGTTGGGGCAATCATTCTAAGCTAGCAGAGTAAAACATGTGCCCCTAACTACGTACACTGTCACACTGCAACTCCCATAAGCCCCCATCATTGATGATGCTGGCTATGGCTAATTGTAGTCCAGCACCATCTGGAAAACCTCAAGCTGTCCACTCCTGCTTTAGACAAGTATTCTTAGGTCTATGATCTAGAGTGGTAGAGTCCCTTAAGAACTATACCGCAAGATTCTGGCTCCCTTCACTTACATTTCTGTTCTTCCTCTGGAACAATACGGTAGACCTTGTACGGCTCTGAGATGTCCAGCTGGGATCTGTCAGTCACTTCTTCAAAGTCAGGGCTCTTATTTAGGGCACATCGTAACCTTGTCTTCCATGTAGCCGGTTCAGCTTTGTCACCTTCTTTGAATTTCCCTTTGAATATGGCCCACGCCTAGAGTATAAGCAGGAAGGCATTTTGATACCCAAAGAGGAGAAAGATTTAAAAGTCTTCCACCTAGGAAAGAGCGTTAGCATGCCCGCACGGGCACTGGATCACGTGAATCTTCACTGGCACTTACACCCATGTTCTCTCTATACTTCATTCTCTTTCTAAGTCCATGCCAAAAGCCACACTTAAGCCTTGTTTCATGACTTGATAAGTTAAAATGGGGAGCTTAATTGGAATCCATGGCTACTTTTCCTCCTTTGGGCTCTATAATAAATCTGTATTGTACGTATTGTATTGCTCTTTTTCTGTCATTAGGGGTCACTATAGCGCTGCTGGCACAGCTATCAGATTCAGCACCATAGTAGCACTTGGTGCACATAGCAGCACTATGTACTCTAAGTAGCACTTACACTGTGTAATCTAAGTAGACAAAATATATAAAGAGCAACTCTCCAAAGGGAGGGGGAAAGCTTTTGTACATACTCTCCATAGGTGAGAAGAAAAACTGGTCCACTCCATGAGATGGTGCTGCACTTGGTTTACACAAGCAACCAAACACAATTACTCTGCAGCCACATGACTGGACCAGAACTTAGAAACATTCTCGTTTTGAACTACACCTTCCACCATCCACCTGCTAGCATAGCCATCGGTCACAATGGCTGAGGATTCTGGGAGCTATAGTCCAGAAAGTTACTTTTTTAAACTCTGGGGAGAACCTATCCTAAAAGAAGCTAATCCAAAGAGTATTGTACTAAGGGCCATTTCTAATTAACGATCTTGAAACCAAAGAATGAACCTCAAATGTGAGATTTGCCCATACATTGTTTTATTAAAATGCAGGTTCGGCTGTGATAGTCAGAAGAGACATCCACAATACCTTGAATATAGAGGCGTCAACTTCTTGATTATAGTCCTGTTTCCCAGCATGTTTCCATGGGATACGGAACATGGTTTTCTCCTCGTTCTCCCAGATTAAGCCAGAATACATCCCACTGTCAATTTGTTCAATCAGCCATTGCCTCAGCCGCCTGCCGTTGTTTCGGTCACACATCCTGGAGAAGCATTTGAAGAGTTGCTGTAAGAAACTTCTCAAACTGCTCCGACTGACAGTCAAAACTTGATAAGGTCATTTTGGGGGAGTACGATGCCCAGAATTGTCCAATCACCATGCTGGCTGGGAGATTCTAGAAGGTGTTGCCCACCCACCCCCCAAAAAAAGATTTTCAAAACCTCTGTGGTCAACTGTAATCCTCCTCCAAGAGCAGCTAAATATTCCATGTAGGTGGAAAAGAGCTGGCTAGATAGCTCAGTGAATTAAATACCGTATTTTTCGCTCCATAAGACGCACCTTTCCATAAGACGCACCAATTTTTTAGGAGAAGAAAACAGGAAAATATAATCTGTTTTCTTCGCTCCATAAGACGCACAGACTTTCCACACACCCCTGTTTTGTGGGGGGAAAGTGCATCTTATGGTGCGAAAAATACGGTACCTAGCTACAAGGCCAGAGGCTGGGAGTTTGCTTCCCCACTGTGCCTCCTGCGAGTAGAGCCAGCCTGGATAGCCTTGGGTAAGCTGCCCCCTAGAGGAAGGGAATGGGAAACCACTTCTGATTACACTCTACTTAGAAAACCCTGGAAAGGCTCACCATAAATCAGAATTGACTGGACAGCATATGGTCATTATTATTAATAATAGTAAGTGGAGAAGACATTCAGGAGCACAAATGAATAGGATCAGGAACAGCCATGGGGGGTGTGTGAGGGAGGCAGCTTAGTTCAATAAGATTATCATCGATATAGGAGTTAGAGGCAGTCCAACCCACAGATAACAATCAGACTTAGGTTAGCCGTGACTTATTTGTCCCAACAATTTCCAGTTTACTGTATAACTAGATCGACATTAAATTTACAGTATTTTTGGGTGGGTGTGGTTTTGTTTTTGTTTTAGGAAACTCTTCATAAAGTGAAATACCTGACGTTTCTCAATTTTTTTTAATTGCCTGATAAAATAGCATTTATTACAGGCAAAGGTAAGCTGCATCTTTAAAATGCCAACCATCTTTATCCATTTCTCCTGGTAAACAATGTCCTTAAAATGCATTTAGAATGATGAGTACAGTGTAATTATCTTTTTTGTTGTTGTTGTTACTAGAAGCACACAGACACCTATGAGTCTTTTATGTTCCTTAGGAGAAGATACTGGTGTTTTGCCAAGAAAAGGAAAAGGTGGTATAGGTATCCCGAAGGCCAGAGATGTAACCCATGTCTGAAAGGACTGCCCTGATTACTCTGTCTTCATAAGGAGAATCACTCATTAGCGCAGTAGAATTCCATGCCTGCCTGTTCACACAGGCAGAAATCCTACAAAATGCAATGGGATTTGCTTCCATACATGTGGGCAATCTGTACTTGCAGCCTCGGCTTTGAGAGACCAGCAAGGTATCAAAAGCAATATATTCTCTAAGCCAGCATCCCATATTAAAGGCAATTACTCTCTGCCCTAGGGCCCCAAAACCAGCACCAAATGGAGAAGATCCGTGTGTAGGTCTGTCATGATGGCCACATTTAAATGTAATCCCGAGATTACACAAAAGATTTATTTTGAAGTATGATGGTGTGAGTTCTTGTTCTACAAAAGGGTGATGCTCTCCCAAGAAAAAGCAGGTGTAGTTAAGTCAAGTTAGATCAGATGCAATATATCTCTTTGATTGCAGAACATGGAACATTTCTTTTTTAAAAAGAATGACTATTATGACACAATGAATACAGCGACATCATTATTTATCATTGGTCATCATATCAGGCTCTGGGGCTCATCAGGAAACCACTGCTATTATATTAAAGTGTTTAAAATTAACTTGCCAATAGCTGCAGTTCTTTTGCTTTTAAATCAAGTAACAGGGAGACACACTTCTTTTGCACCCTTAGATTAGGTAGTTTGCCCCCTGGTGAGGAAGTCACTAGACTCCTTCTCAGCCTTGGGGCTAAGATGAAGTGATTAGCTGTAAGGAATGAAACATAAGTTTGTAATAAATAAATATGCAACAATATCCTTTACATATATAGACATGCAGGAGAAAAGAGCAAGACCTCCAATACAATTCTAGGCGTGCTTGCTAAGAAGCAAGTTTCACTAATTCTAACCGAAGTGTCCATAGGATTGCAACCCACATTAAGGTTTAATGAAAGGTTTAAGAAAAGGAAGCTCAAACTGAATATCAAAATGATAAAGAAAGGTTTTAAAAAATACTAACACTGACGGTGATACATATCCAAGTTGCAAAAGGAGCGAAACTTAGGAAATCTACTAAAATCTAATTGTTGAAAACTGGTGCAAAGTGCATTAATACTACGGATGCCAGACTTTTGGAGGGGGGGGAGAGACAATGGGAAAGCAATGAAACAATACAACCAATCCTCTACTGAGACCGCGCGGGATCAAGTTGTTTCCCTCCCACCTAAGTGCACCGCCACACGCCTGGACCCCACACACTGAACACTGACCTCCACATCTGGACTGGTTGCAACGCCGTTCAACTTTGCGCGAGCCGGTTTGCCAGGTCGGAGAAAGTTAGAAAGAAACTCTTCTGCCTATATACTGTACGTATAAGAACCTGGAGGCTGGGTGGGCTACTACCTTCACCACCACCCCCCGCCCCCCCGTGGGCCCCGGGCCAATGAAACAGGCGTGCGGAGGAGACGAGAGGCCAATAGGAAGCGGCCAGGGCAGATTCCCCTTCTTCTCGCCCCACTGTTTTCCGAGAAATCAGCCCGCGCGCCCCCGTCCATTCATAGTTCCAGCAAGTGAAAGTCCGCGCGCTCCAGATTCCCGGGTCAACGTTCCATCGCTCCTTTCCCTTTCTCCTTTTCCTTTTTTTGCTCCGCACGTGCCTGCCTCGGCTCAGGTGCCTCCGATGCGCCCGAATCGACCCGGATAGGCCATCCTCCCTTGGGGCTCCTTCTCTCTCTTTCTCTCCTGCTCTTCTCCAAGGTCTTGACAGCGGCGTCCGACTTTCTCCCCTCCAGCTCCATCCATCCATCTTTTGCGTTTAGCAGCCTTCCTGAACCGGCACGGGCCGAAAGAATTGGACCCGGGAAGACATCAGGGGGCCACGAGGATCGCCCCAACCTAGGAAAGAGTAGGAAAAAGTTCAGTTTCGGCTGAAAGCACCTTAGATCTGCCGCTGAAACTTGACGGGGAAGCGCGATTCGTCGCTGTTCTGCTGCTCCTCTGGGAATTTCCAGGTGGCAAACATGCCCGCCTCCTAGCAAGAACTAGACACAGCTTTACAATGTTTAACGTGTTATGCTTGCAATTCTGCTCTTTTAATACAGTGTGTCCCCTTACGGGGAGAAAGGCGATGTATAAATAATTTTTTTTTAAAAAAAAGTTATGTTTTTCTTGTTATTCTTCCGCCTTCACCAACCTCATCAGGGCTATTCTGTGTCATTCTTTAGATGCAACAGCTCTAAACGACGATGTTGTAGCGCATGAACTGCTGGATAGCTCAAGTAGCCTAGGCAGAAGTTGGGAGTCGAATTCCCCACCGAGCCTCCCTGACAGGGGCTGGTCCGTGGAGCCCTTTCCAGCTCTGCCGTTCCAAGGTTATTGCCCTTAGACTATAATTCCCAGAATCCCCCAACTGCCTTGAGAGTGCTAAAAAAAAAAAAGTAATTTTTCCAAGTGCTGTCAGTTTTTTTCCTGGCCATGCTGTAATTCCGAGTTAGCAAATTTTAGCTAGCTAGAAGATTCCAGGAACTCCTCTTTGAAAAAAAAGTGCTTCCATGAATTCCGCCAAGATCATGCTGGCTGGGGCATTCTAGGAGTTATATCTTTTTTAAAAAGTAACTTCTCTGTGCTCTGGATTTGGGAAACCCGCACCTCTGAGAGTCTTCTTTGAGACTTCTAAAACTACTTCTTTGAGATAGTTTGTGTGTAGAATGGCAGTTCTTTACAACATAATAGAAGCGACAGACAGGTCTCTGCCCCTAAGAGATTACATTTTAACCTCTTCTGTAACTTATGCTGAAGTTGGGAAGGTGCATTACTCCATCTGGGGAGTGCTTTTCGGAGGCCTGGGGTGAAATCAGGAAATCCCCAGATCCTTGTGAAGCAAATACATATTGCACTGATGTAATCCCAGAATCCCAACAAACCCTGCTGGTCGGTATGTCTTCTCATTTAACTGGATCATGGCTGCTCCTCATAAAGGCTGACGGCATGTCTTAGCACCTAATCAGTGACAATGGACTTGCTGTTTTATTCTGACACATGGGAATATAAGCACTTGCTTCAGAAGGATGTGGGGAGGTTTCTCCATAATGATGCCGGTGGCAAACCTGGATCATCATTTACATTCATTGTCCGGCTCAGTTACTCCTACTTGCAGTTATTTTTGTATGTGCAGTGACACCAGCTGAATGCAGAAAGACTGGAGGGTTATTCCAATCTGTTTGTTCTAGGGAAATCTGCAGTAGGAAGTGAGGTTAGGATAAGTCATCATTGTCTGGGTGCTCATCCTCCTCCTATATTTCCTAGAAAGATTAGTCAAAACACATTGACCTAATTCTTTGGAAGATAAAAGCTGGACTGTTACCATTGTCTACTGTCCTCATTCCAAATGGGGCTTTAAAACTCATCTGGATGGGTTTTTTTAAAAAAAAAAATTGGCAACTTCTGGATTATTTTCTGACTGCACAGGAATCCCAGTGTGTTTAAGACTGGCTGTGGAATTGGAGTTAGCGAATGAGTCAAAATTACATGTCATTTCTTACACAGTGAAATTGGGTGGGTTTTTTCTCTTGCTTAAAGTCCAGCTTGTTGCTATTGCTGAATTTGAGTTTAGATTTGTTGATGTTCTCATTGCAAGCCACCCAGAGTAGCAGCTTGGCCACTAAATGGCTGGGGGAAAAACTGAATTAAATAAATCAATAAATTTGTTTAGGGGCAATATCTTTGTTCTTTTTTTTTTTTAACAAAAACAGCCCACAATCTTTCATATACAACTAAAGAAGCCGTAACCATGTTTTGTTTTTTATTTCCCATACAAAAGAGGAACCGGTCGAGATACAATTTTTGTGGCACTCAACAGAAGTTCTGTTTCTCCGGTTCCCACCTTTGATTTTTCTGCAGAAGGGTCTACTCTCAGAAGAAGACAAAGCCGTCTCATGGCACGTGGCTACCTGACGGTCAAGTGGCACTCCTGCCTGTTTCACGTACAAATGGCAACAGGACTAGCAACTAAACCTTTCTATGGAACTAGTGATTAAAAGGCATCTTCCGCCACATGTGGAGGTAGACTAGTTGAGTGGGATTAGGAGAACTCACAGGGCAAAGCAGTGGTCTTCTATAACATTTTGCTGCCCACCTTCCAACCACCGTTTGGCCTCATGGTGGCAAGGCCAGCCCCGGAGACAGAAGAGGCAAAGCATGGAAACTAGAGATGAGCACAAACCAGAAAGACACGACATCGGGGGTGGTTCGTGGTTTGCGAGATGAGCACAAACCAGAAAGACACGACATTGGGGTGGCTCGTGGTTTGCGTTTACCTAGGAACCATGATTTGCCCCAGAAAAACGAACTGGTTTGTGGTTCGTTTTTCCAGTTCGTGCTTGGGGGGGAGGGGAACTTCATGCCTCCACATCCTGTGGTGTCTGGTCTCCCCCTTCCCTCTGCCCCTGGCACTTGTCCTTACCTGGCCCTGCCACCTCCTCCTCTTCCTCTTCCACCATCCTCAGAGACGCCTCCTGTCTCTGAAGATGGTGAACACAGAGGAGGAAGAGGTAGCAGGACCAGGTAAGGGCAAAGTGCCAGGGGGCAGCGGGAAGGGGGCAGGAAGGGGGACATCTGATTTGCTGAAGCAAAATGAAGCACCGAGCAGAAAATAGTTTGGTACTTCATTTCATTTCAGCAAAATGGCTTGCGCAAACCAAACCACAAACCAGACCTAAATGGGTTTGTGTTTTGTTTTTTCCAGTTTGTAGTTCAATCCATACCCATCTCTAGAGAAAACCATATATAATCATCTCTGTAATATGGAAGGAATGCATTACTATGTACTCTCCATCTGTTGGGAACATCTATGGCAGATGTAATCTCTGTGTATCGCATCTCTATTACAGTGGGGTCTTGACTTGAGAACTTAATCTGTATTGGAAGGTGGTTCTCAAGTCAAAAAGTCTGTAAATCAAGTCTCCATTGACCTACAGTGCATTGAAAACCGATTAATCCCGTAACAGGCCGTTTTTGTTCCATTTTGGTTTTTTTCTGGTCTGTAAGTCAAATCTCAGTCTGCAAGTCAAACCTAAATTTTGCGGCCAGAGAAGTCTGTAACTCAAAAAGTCTGTAAGTCAAGCTGTCTGTAAGTCAAGGGTCCACTGTATAACTTCCTATTCGTACCAGAAACAGCCTCTCTTTTGTTTCCAGTCACCAAGTTCTACTGTCAGCCATTTACAAGGCAACCAGACACACTGTCTGGGTTTTCGCCTGACTTCCTCCCCAACGCATTTTTGATTAAGAGCTAACTTTGCAGTTGTTTCTCAAATTTGGGTGCAGCTCACTGTCCCAAAGAGTGGGTGGGATGCTGGCATTGTCTTGCAGGAGGTAGTGCTGGTTGATTCAGGGGGGGCAGAAGGGGGAGTGTTCTGTTCTAATGGCTTTCCTTCGGGGTGGGGTGGGGGGGACAGACATGGCTCTTTTCCAGCTTCTAATGAGTGAAGACTAGCCAGTTGCAAGAGCCTGCTGCTGACTCAAACAAGATCCATGAAGTGCACGTCCCTTGAAATTATTAGCAGTTTTGTCTCCCAAGGACAGCAGAAGTAAATGTTTGCAAGGCATTAGTCCAACTAAATATTGCATGCTGCCCCCTTGACACACAAAAAACTAGCAGATGAGATTTCCAGCATGACACAGATTCTGTTTCAGGAACTGTTTATCATGAACACAATTGGCAATAAACCCTTTTTAAATAGCTTGGTTTGCCTGCTTGCTGAAGTTGTTGCATTTTGCTGGGTATAAGATGTGTCTATATATCTATATAAGAGGGGATAGTCACGTTCTACACCACTGTGTGGCCGCTGTGTGACAGAGAGTGTTGGATGAGATGTGTCATTGGCCTGATCCAACATCGCTTCTTTTATTTTTATTTTTTTTATGAGGATGTGATAGTTCCTACCATTGAATTACGCAATTTTTCATAATCATTTGTTCTGAATGTGGTTTTAAGTATGAGCTTTTAAGCCGTCTTCTTTGGAGTCATGGCCATGGCACTGTTCCAAATTGCCTGAAGATGTGCTTGTACCCACTTACAGAATATCATCCGGGTAGGCGGCTACTCTGAAATCTGGACATTGCTCAGAAATCGAGTGCTCCACCCTAAACCCAGCTTTCTCCTGGTCTTGCCCGGCTTAGACTAAGTGGGTATTTGCTAACTACAGTTCTGGCTTATCCCTGGACTGATCTGAAATATATAAAATATTGTCTTCATCCTCGGAAGAGCTATAGATGATATATTAAAAAAATGACCATCTTGAGCTCAATTCTGCAAACAAAAGGCAAAAATGAGCCAAGGAGCAAGAAAAGCCAGAGGGGTTCTTCCAGAAATAACTTTGCACACAGAAAGCAATCAAAGAGCAAGAACACGACGCTACCCTTGTTGAAATTACCACTGAGGAAGCTGTACACGGTGCTCCTTCTACAAGTGATATAAACTCTAAGAATGAACTGTCACAACTTGTAGGCCTTCAGTAAAACATACAGAAGGAAAAAAAGGATTTCAAGGAAAGTGAGAATATTTGCAATGGCTGCAAAAGAAGACAATGTTGTGTCCAGCTTAGATTACACTGATACTGCTAACTGGCCTAACTATTGCAGTGATAAATTGCCACAGCTTATAGTACAATATGGACCACAGCGGGCTGTATCACATGGCTTCCCAAAAAAACTCAAAAACAAGAAGATTTCCTCCTATACACTACAAGAGGAGACTAGGAAATGGTGAAGAGGTGTGCCCTCAATGGCTGATATATTCCACCTCAAAATATGTAGTTTTTTGTTTTTGTTGTAAGCTGTTCAACAAAGTAAATAGTGCATCAGTGCTAGAAGGACAAAGTTCAAAAGACTGGAAGAATATTCGAGCAATTCTGTCTTCCCATGAGAGAAATCCTCTCCATTTAGAAAACATTCAGACCTGGAGAGAACTTGAATTGCGCTTATATAAAGAAAAAACAGTGGATGATAATAACCAGCAGAAAATCAGGCAAGAAGAACAATATTGGCAACAAATCTTGGAATGCTTGATTGCTTTGATCAGACTTCTTGGCATGCAAAACTTGGCATTTCATGGTACGACTGAAAAGTTCTATAGTGCTAACAATGGGAATTTTCAGAAGTTTGTAGAATATTTAGCCCTTTTTGATCCTATCATGAATGAACATTTGCGCAGAGTTAAAAATGAAGAAACAATGGTTCATAGGATTATTCAAAATAATTTGTGTCCTAAAACTGTTTTGTATTGGAGAAAAGAAAACTGAAGACTGTTCTATTACTTGTTCTCTCAGTTTTTTTTTTTCAAAATGATCAGTGTAAAAGGACTGATGTATTATTATGGCTACTTGGCAAATCAGATTATAATCTTGACTTGTTGAATTAGAGACCAGTTCTGCATGCCTGTGAGTTACAGACAGCTTAATGTTGACTCAAAACATATCCACAAAAGATATTAGAAAGCACCCTTGATTCTATTCTCCCCCATTTATTTGTATCACACTCACCACAGATCTCTGTTCTGTTGCCTTATTGTGGCCAGTCCATGACCCCGGGCTCTGGAAGGTTATGCAGCTTCAACCAAGATGAGATGGTTTCAAGGATGGTCTTGGTGGCACAATGCAAATCTACCATCTGGGGACCAGCCTAGCTAAGTATATAGAGAGAGCGTCACTACCAGTAGGCTGACCACCAATTATTCAAGGGTCATAGCAACTATCACAAGAACCTTATGGAGTAGCTGCAATCTCCATTGGTGGACTGTCCTCCTCAATGCTGATGAAATCATAGATCTTCACAGTATTTGTATCTGTATTTGTTTTTAGTGTAGAACAGAATTAGAATAGAAGCCAGTGGGTTTTTTTGTTTTTTTTTGTTTAATGTGTGCATTATATGGCTATCCCACCTTTCTTCCATGATGGAAGTCAAGACAGTACACAAGGTTTGTCTTAGATGGCTTCCAGCCGATGAGGATTTCCTCTACAGATCTTCTGAACGTCATCAAGGTTGCTGCTTTGTGTCCCTTCAAAAACCATGCCTGGAGAACATGGTAGACATGTTTGCAGACAATGAGTTTTATATTTGCATTACAGTGCAATTGAAGAAAATGCCTTCTTAAACCATCTTTAAGGGGCTTTTACACATGGGGCAAAATCCACACCTCTTTGTCCTAGTTTGTCATGAAGGTATGGAGCATTTACCCAGAACTATGTCTAAACTGCACTTTAAAAATTATTTCTGTGAGAGTCTCTTCTCTCCCAAGGAAATCCTTAAATCTTTTTTTTAAATACTTTTCAGAAAACAAATTCTCTACTGAAGTTTCCCTTCTAGATCTATGGGGACGGTGGCGGTGGTGGTATTACATAACTGAAACCTGACAGAAACTTTCAACTAGGATTAGAACATGGTTTTCACCACTTCTTTCTTATGAATATACTGAAATCTTTTTTTCTCTCTTAAAGAAATTAGAAATATTAATACCCTGATGGAACTTCTCTTCTGGACCTTGTTTTTCCAACCAGGAAGCTATGGTCTTGGAAGTGAGCTGAAAAGGACCATTGCACTAAGCTCAGTATTTCAACAACTGATTGTCATAGATGCCTGACGGTGTTTACAGGACTAGAGAACATGCCACTAGATTATTCTAGATTATTCTAGACTATTGCTAGAAACAGTCATCTTCCAATTCGCATGCTCTGTTAATCCTACTCATTAGTTAAAATCTAAAGTGCCTGTGCTAAAACAACAACAAAAAACCCTATCTATTCATTTCTAAAAGACCCTTCCCTGCCAGAGTTAGCAAGTAAATTTTATGGGTCTTCTGGTATCTTAGAGACTGGCAGGTTTCATTGGGCACAAACTTTTGTGGACGGTAGCCCACTTCAGATGCATGAAATGTATCCACAAAAGCTTATACACCACAAAACCTGTTAGTTATTACAGGTCTATAAGTCCCCTTGTTATTTTAGCTGAAACAAGCTGTATCCCTGGAAACAAAACAAGAATTCCCCAATAAAGTTCTGTCTTTTAAATTTTCTGAGTGCTGGTGTTGTTAACACTGAAAATGGCTCTTCCTGGAACTGTAGTGGTTAGTTCAAAGCAGAAAGAGGAAATGTTGGGCACTCCAAATATATTGTATATATCTTGATTTCAGTTCCTAGAAACTCTAGCCAGGATGAGCAAAGGCAAGGAATTCTGAAAAACGTCATACAGAATATCTGGAGCACCAAAGTTTCCCCATTTCTGGGTCAGAGGTATTCCTTTATTTTTGTCCCTGGTTTAGGAAAGCCTTCCAAAGCTACAAATGGGTTTGCACACTCAAGCAAATCATGTAGGGTGTAATCAGACAGGCCCAGTGAGGTCATAAGACAAGCCGGTAGCAGACCCAAGAAGAACACAGGAGAGGTTTTGCTCCATCGCCCTGACCATGCAATTTACGACAACATCTTCAAGATACAGCTAACCTACCCAGTCTCTGCCATGGGGCAAGAGAATGCTACAGCTGTCCTTCCCAGAAAAAAGAATGGTAGAGCTGCTTCACAATCTTTAAAGCAGCTTTTCCCAACTCAAGGTCCTCCACATGTGCTGGATGGCAAGTTTATTACCCCCAGCTATGCAGGGATCATAGAGGTTGTAGTCAAACACATTTGAAGGGTGTCAGACTGGAGAAGACAACAGATAGAGTTCTTCCTATCTGTTCATCCACCGTTTGGTCGGGCTGCCGCTGCTGGTGGTATAGGTGGTATGGGGCCGGTGGCTTGTTGGGTTAGAAGTGCTGGTCCAGCTGGTTTCCCTGAGTCCAAACTCCTGCTCTTTTGTTTTCTCCTCTTGCGAGGTGAGTAAGTGTTGCAACTCCTCTTGGTCATTGAGTGGGTTTTTGCCATATTCCTGCTGGATCCATGCACGGTACTGCCAAAAAATAAAAACACCGCAGGGTTGTTAGGCAAGGAGGCTGGCGAACAATCCAGGACATAGGTAGCCAAACAATGCAAGGAAACCAGCCCTCATAATGGGTATATATCATAAACACTTGGGCTGGTTGGAACCTAACTGAAATCTGTGTTGAAACAAGTGAAAATCTTGGGGGTATATTTAGAATTTCCTTCTAAAGAGGTGAGAATTCTCTGAAATGCACTCCCCTGAAATGTAACTGGCAAACTATCAATCAATCAGTCTATCAATCAATCAGTCTATCAGTCAATCAGTCTATCAATCAATCAATCAATCAATCAATCAATCTTCTAAGTACTTCCCCAAACTTTCCCAGGATCCTGTAGATTGGAGCTACAGTTGAAATGGTATTGAACAAGTGTACAGCGCGGATGAACTCTGACCTTAGCGTTTCCATATACTTTCCAACTTTCTTTTGGAAATCTGTTGACATGTCAAGTTGTCCTCTCTTGAGAGCACTGAGTGGCTAGATCAAATATACAAAAACGAGTGATCTGTGTGTGGCTTAGTAGGGTAATGTTTGCAATATGATGCCGTGGTTAACTGGAAAGGGTAACATGTCAGTCGCTCGCAGTGATGTTTCTGTCTCATCTCATAGCACAATAGCTTCATTTTTTTTCCAGGGGCACTTCACCACTTATAACTTGACAAAAGAATTTTACATGCATTCCTCACTTTTTGGGTGGTCCCCTCTCTGAAATGGGATGGCTTTACAGAGCCAACCCACACAAAAAAAATCTAGCAGCAGCTGCTACTCGGTGATTGTGGGTTGGCTCTACACAGCCTTCCTTAAAGCCATTTTATAGTGTAGTCCTCTGGGTGTGTGCTTTGAACTTCCATTGAGTTCAACCTCAGTCATGCTATCGGGTTAGGACTTTGGTGGCACATCTTTAGGGCCCTACTTGGCAAGAAGACAAAAAAAAGACCTCTAAATCTTTACAGCAAATTTATGCCTTTTTTTAAAGGAATGGAATAAATACACTGTGTCATCTAAAGACATCTCTGTAAGTAGATTGGACCAACTGTGTACATTTTTTTTCTTATTAGAGATTATTACGTATTCCCACCCACTTTTGCCTCTTGATCCCATTTCACGTTGCTACACAAAATCCTAACAACATTTTAAAATGCAACATTTTAACCCTCTTCGGTTTTTAATACAATGCAGAGTCATCACCGTGTTTGGGCAAGACAGCTGAGTTATTTCAATGTTATTCCTAAAAAAATAAAAGAAATGCATACGTTAGTTCATGCACACACATGCATGCACGCACACACAGAGAGAGTGTGATATTTTCAACCCAGAAGAATCCATGGTTGAAATCTACATAAAGCCACATGAAAGCAGACATAATGAAAACATCGCCCACTCAGTCTATTCCCACCCATAACTAGGATCATGTGTCAACTCCTTCTTTTACTCATGTTTATGGCCCCTTGATCATTTATACCACCAGTTGGGCTCCCATCAACTTCTGGGGGACTTCCAATGGGAATTTCTGATGTTTCGCTTGTAATATTATATCTGCCCTCTCCTAATAACATCTCTGCACACGAGCGACAGAAACCCACTGTTTGAAACTAGACGGTTTGCTTTAAACCAAGGAAGCTCACGATTGTTTTATGTAAAGGTGAGGGTGCCACATGATTAGAAAGGAAGCTTGGTTTATTTTCTAGCAAGGTCATTCAAATTATAAACCCATTTTACAGGGGGGGAAACAGGAAATCCTGCATTCACAACCATGGTGGAGAGCTACCACCCTATTAAAAAAAACTCTGCTTGGTTTGCTGTTGCTGTTATTTCCCCCTTGCTTTTTGCATAATCCCAGAGAGGGGGAGAAGCTCCTGCTGTGACACTCAGACACTTTCATTAGTTAAGAAGCTCCCTCTTCTAGTCACGGGCTATCCTTAGATTTTGGTTCTGTTCAGAATATGAGCCGGTCCTGAATGCCTGTAAGGGGTCTCCTGAATTCTGGGCCGGGGCAGGAGAATTTCTCCCCAAGGTCCACTCATTACTAATGAAATCCTGCTAATCATGTAGGTCAAACAGCGGTGGCAAGTGACATCATTCAAAGGCCTCTTTTCTCATTCATTGGCTTCTAGTCCTGCCCCCCACCCACCGTCCCCATGGAAATGTTTTGCCCTCCAAAGCCACATCAATTTTTAGAACGAGAGATCTCTGTCCTTTGCGGGGAATCACAAGCTCAATTGTTTTGCAATCTGTGTTGGCCGTGTTTCACCCAAAGCTATCCTGCCTAGCCGTGAATACAAAGGGGCCACAACATCATGTGTCTCAGTGCTCTCTCTTGCACTCTTCCCAGCATGGTTTTCTTCTGAATACACTTCATTTTTTTTAAAAAACACACAAATTTAGTGAGAAGGAAGTTGACGCACAGGGTATGGAGCCAGCACAGCCCAAGACTCAAGAAGAAGGGTGAGGTCATTTCACGATGGTGGGCAGAATTGAACCATCTTATGTCGATGCAGGGGTTCTTTAGACAGCAAGGTGATCGTTTTACTAACGCCCAAGATGTGGCCAGGCTCTCCTGCTGTGCCAAATGGGGCCCCCGAGTGCCTGCCTCCAAGTTGGGCTCCTCGTGTCACAGTTGCCCAGTAAGAATCTGCTGACATTCCCAGCTGAGTCACATGTGAGATCCGACTCTAGGTTCCAAAAATAAACACTCACCAGAAAGCGAAAGCGCAGTCCATTGCGCTCCCCTGGTCCTCAGAAAAGCAAAAAGGCTAAAGCACAGATTGCAATAGACTCTGATTTTACTGAGGCACAATATAGTCATGTCCTCTTGAAACCAAGCTTGGGTATTGTTGTAAGTTCACCATTCAACTGTTGTGAGGGAGCTTGAGTTGGGGCAAAAAAAGGTTAAGTAGAGAGGGATCAAAGGAAAGGTTATATTTCTTAGCGGACTGCATCCAGGGGTGAGACAAACGAGGAGCTCCAAGCTGAAATCAAGCCTGACTTTTCCAGAAGCCAGGAAGAAGAAGAGCAGCAGCAGCAGCAGCAGCAACAACAACAACAACAACAACAACAACAACAACAACAACAACAACAACAACAACAACAATGAAACCAAAGGCTTGATTTTTGCTGCACAACACAAACACTCCAAACTAATGTTATGAAAGTTAAGATCCAAGGAAGCGTGCTAACAGTAAATTCCAAGAAAAAGATGAAACGGTGTTACACCTCATCTGTGAATGTCCGGATTGGACAAACAGATTAGACATGATAGAGTGGCAGTTAGTCACATGCAAAAAAAGAAGAAGAAGAAGAAGCTTGCCAGCCTCCAAAAACCCATGGGAATATCAGGTAGAGAAGGGAGAATTAAAGTGGTTTTCTAACATTTCTGGATTACCTCCAGATATACAAGTTGAGAGCAAGTTAAAGCAAGACACTTTATGAATCCAGCCAATATATATAAGCTGCCCAGAGTGGTAGAATATACCAGATGGGCGGGATATAAATCGAACAAATAAATATATAAATACTGTAGATAGATAGATAGATAGATAGATAGATAGATAGATAGATAGATAGATAGATAGATAGATAGATAGATAGATAGATAGATAGATAGATAGATAGATAGATAGATAGATAGATAGATAGATAGATAGATAGATAGATAGATAGATAGATAGATAGATAGATAGATAGATAGATAGATAGATAGATAGATAGATAGATAGATAGATAGATAGATAAAATTTATATAATATATATAAAATTTATTTATTTATTTATTTACTTATTTATTTAATATCCCACCCATTTAGACTGAAGTCTACTCTTCTTTCTAAAAGGGCATAATATTCCAGAAACCCTTCCTGGTTGACTTAACTGTCAATCTAGCTCACATTGGCAGGAAGCCCCACACAAGAAGGAATGGATTGCATTCACCAGCACACAATCATCACCACCACCTTGCTATACAGAGGCTGCCAAAGAGAAAGCAAGAACTTTAAGTCATACTTACCTCCTTGAGCAAAGTCCTTTCATACTCCTCAAGCTGCTCCTGGAAGCCAAAGTTGGGGCTCACATAAGAACGGACAGCTCTGGTGGCGGCCAGGCACTCTTCCCAGCCCAAGTTGGTCACGGTCATGAGGTAGGCCACCAAGACGGTGGTGCTTCGAGAAACTCCAGCTAAGCTGTTGTGGAAAACCATAGAAGTAGCCAGGGAGAAAGAAAATCTACATTAGGATAACCACACACAAGGGGTCCCTTCAGCATGACTGAAACAGACAACCCAATTTTGTTACTTATCTTCCTCAAGGACTTTCCTGACTTGCTTATGCACTCAGACACATGGTCTCCCTGAAGTCCAAGATGGCCGCCCTCAAGCCAAGCACCATCTTGTATTTCATCATTAATGTGTCCTGCTCGCTCACAAACTCTTGGCTATCAAATTGGCTGGGAACTAGGCAGAAAATACAAAGCTACAGTACTGAGGGAGGAGTACTTCATCGCCCTTTTGAAAGCCCACTGTCTATATTAGGCTAATGAAAGAATAATTGATTGCCCTTTTGAATGCTGTGTTTCCTAGAGGAATTGAGCTGTTGCCCAGGATCCAAAGAATTGGGATGTTCAGAAGATATTTAGAGGCCAGCAAGGGGCCCCTTAGAGCTAAAGTCACAGTCTTAGAGCTTAAGTCACAGGCTTCCACACAATCATCATTAAGCATGGTTTGTTGGTTAAGCTACCAGTTACATGGCTTAGAAGAGCTGTCCTAGGGAGATGGAATAAGTTTATTTTCTGTTATTCAATGGGGCATGAACCAATGGATTCAAATAACGAGAAGGTAGATTCCAACTAAATATTAGATGCTCTGCAAGAAAAAAAGAGATGCGGATCTGCTATGAAACTAATGAAGCTTAAGCTTCAGGGCCTGAACAACTTCATTGAGAAAGATAACAGTCGTTACCCAGACTGACTCTTTCCCCTAGCGTTCTGCAACAGTTTAAACTGGCGTCTGACTTTACAGCGTATGATCAAGGAGAGTCGGTGACTGGCAGAGAGTGAGATCAAGGGAAAGGTGGGTATATAGGCTGTGGTATGAATAAAACAGTATTGGATCGAGGGTCCAGTGTGGACACTGGTGCCAAAACAATCCACAGTTTTCGTGTGATCATCTAATCCGAACAGAAGCATAGAACAAGCTGTGAATCAAGCCAATTTAACTTGTCAGTGTAATCGCAACCAAACCATGGCTTGTTTGGAGAGGCAAGTTTGCACATCACAACAAGCCAGCTTTCGAAAACTTAAATCATGGTTTGTTTTTGTTCTAGTGTGTATGAACAATCTTTTGCCAGCCTTGGAAATTTAAATGACGATGAGTCACTGCAACTTAGCTGCTCGATCATGGTTTGCTTTTGTTTTTTGGGGGGTAGAAGCTGCAATATCAAAGTAAACAAATCTTTCAGCGGCACAGTTTGTATTAAAGACAAGCAACACCTACTGATTTGTCCTTTCACTTGGAATTTTGCCACTTCGAGAGAGTTCCAGAACAGTTTGTATTAAAGACAAGCAACACCTATTGATTTGTCCTTTCACTTGGAATCTTGCCACTTTGAGAGAGTTCCAGAGCGAGAGTCATTCAAGAGAAAATTGGACAAATATCTGTCAACTCTGCTACAATTCGGATTCCCGCACTGAGCAGTGGGTTGGTTTCAATGGTTTTATAGGCCCCTCCTAACTCAATTATTATTATATTCTATGATTTGATGGTTTGGAGAGCGCTTTGCAAATTCACCCAGAAGGATGCCCCACTAAGTTCTTCTGCCTTTACTCCCAAGTCAGTGTCTATAGAATCGCAGCTCTTTGGACAATCAACCTTCTATGTAAATATTTTCTCACTCCCTTGACCCTGCCTATATTTAAAAATTATGAAGAAATATCCAGGATGTAAATCCAGGCATATTTGCATACCTATTACATGGCAAACACACACACACATATTCTAGTCAAGTTCTTTAACATGCTGAAGACAGAAAAAGGATGGGAAAAACTGCACACCAGTGAATGAGACATCCTCCCCCATTCAGCCGACATTCGTGAATAAACTTGATGCACTCTTTGAAATATTGTATCCTGATAAGAAAGGGGAAAAACATTAAGAATCAAATGCGCTAAAACTACTTCCAATCAACTTTGTGGAATGAAGAACCCAGAACTCGAAAAAAATTGCTGGCTTGGGGATTCTGGGAGTTGTAGTCCAAACAACAACTTCTCCAAGCTCTGGAGGAACCTGAGCTTTTCCTGTTTTATATTGTTGTTCTATCAGTTCTTTTAACAACAGCGAGCGGCACAACACATTGATTTTTGCATGATATAATAAGCAGATTTAATTACTCTTCTGAAACTAGAAATTACTTTGGAAGCTCTGTGTACGGCAGCACAAAGTTAATTTCAAGACAGGAAACAATCAAGATTGCTCACGCTGAAGCCAGGATGGTAGGTCCCAAACCCCACCGTGAGCTTAACAATGCTGGGTCATTCCATTTCAGCCCAGGCTGCTCTTGCTTCTTGGAAAATCCTTTCTAAATTCTCAGAGATTGTGAAATGTGAAGTCTAAAGCAGTGTGCAGAAAATAGCCCCTTAAAAGCAAAACTTCCTTCCTGTGGCTCATTGCTGAGAGGCATGTTATGATTGCACAAAGAAAAGGAAAAGGAATGAGAAGAAGGGGGCATAAACAGATATCCCAATCTTGCTGAAGAAGGGCTTTCTTGTTACATTTCCCCATGGGGACATTTTGCACTGTACAAGGCTTATGGCTCTGTGACAGCAGAGTGCCTGCTTTGTGTATGGCAAGAGCAAGGGTCAAAATAGGCAAGAGGAGCTTTGAATTTAGAAGCAAAGCTCCCTTAAGCATTGGAAGACATCTGTTTCCAATTCTGCACCCGCAGAAGAAGGGAAGATTAAAACACTTCTGAGTATTCCCTACCCGGAAAACCTTGGAAACGGGTGACTAAGTTGAGATTGACCTGATGGTACACCATTATTAATTGAAATAGTTCTGGAAGCATATGTGAACACCTGAAGTCAATAAGCAAATAAAAACTTTCTAAAAGGCGAATCCAACCTATTCACATCAAGGAAAAAGAAAATTAAAAAATAAAGAAGACAAAACGGTTATGACGCTTTAGAAACAAACTGCTATATTTTAATGTGAGCTTTTGTGGACAAGTCCACTTCTTCAGACATAAGACAGGGGGGCTACTCTTACGTCTGAGGAAGTGGACATGTCCATGAACGCTCATATTAAAATGTACCGGTTAGTCTTTACGGTGCCATGTTGTTTTTGTCTTCTTAAGTTTTGTTTTTGCCTGATCGGCCAGCACAGACTAACACGGCTACCAATATATTCAGCAACCCTAAAGGTCACACAATAATTTGCCCCTATACATTTTAAATACACATTAGCTGAGGAGAAATGGTAGTCATGTTCTGCTCTGGGGGAGCTTGGAGGGACAAAACCAGTGCCAACATTCCCTTTGTTTTTCCCCTCAGTTCCTGTTTTGTTTTTTGAAAGCCAGTGGCTTCTAGTGTTGAAAACGGATTCCGCGTCCCTCCCATCCACCAGCACGGCCACAAATGGCAGATCATGCCTCCTAGAGGCCTACGGAGAGGTGGTGGATCGTGTTTAGAAGACTGGGCTTCTGGATCTAGGCTCTGCAGAAACAGCTTTGAGACTGTCCTTTTCCCACCTATGTCTCAAACCAAGAAGAGAAGGCCACTCGTGGCCCTCCAGATGCTGTTGGAGCACAAGCCCCCTCAAACCTCTTCACTGGGTCGCCTGGCAAGGGCTGATGGGTTTTGTAGTCCAAAACCCACATCTGCAAGGAATGTCCACTCAGTCCTAACCAAAACTACAAGAGTTGCTGGAAGTCCCAAAAGAACTTACAGGTTTTGATTGGAGGAATCTGAGGCTGATATACAGAGGTAAGTCATATCCTGAAAGGAAAGAGACAGAATTTGTGAGCTGTGTTTTCTGCTTAGGGTCAGGGAAAGATCTGAGTAATTTTTTTTTCTAAGCAAATGAGAAGACCTTGTGGAAGTCTTTCTGTTATTCTTATGGCAAGATCCAGAATCCCTGCAACCGGCAAGAGGAATTCTAGATAAAGAACCAAAAAGGTCACAGATTTTTTTTCTAGTCAGAAAAAGATGGAAGAACTTAATGGAAAAACACGGGAAGGGATGAAACATGAAGGTCACCAGGTCTGGACTTCTTTTCTATGTCAGTAAATGAGGCACTGCAATTTCAGAGCAAAAAATATTCTCCAGAAAAAAGCACCCCGTAGCACAGAGATGGAGCAGAACCCATGCTTGGCTCCATCATCCAGTTTAAAGGATCTCAGCTCAGAGGGGGTGGGAGAGAACCGCCTCTTTCTGAGATCCTGAGCAAGTGCTGCTCAGCGGAGTAAATAATCCTGGGAAGTGAGATCCTGGCTGGGTGTAGGAAAGCTTCCTCAGCTCAGAAGCAGACTATGAGTTGAGTAGAGGCCTCATCGAAACCCAGCCACCTGCCACAGCGTAATTAGCAGGAGGAGCATGTTCTGTTGGAAGACTCCACAAACATGTGCAGAAAACCAAAATCTGTAATACTTTTGTGGATAATGTTGCAACATATTACTAACAGCAAAATCTTCTAGACGGTTGCTCGCTCGCTCTCGCGCACTCTCTTCTGTCCCTGCCCACCCTATCGTTCCTGACCGAGGCTCTCCTATGATGCACACAAGGTCAGGACGTGGTAAAGTTTTTGTGCTTGTGGATTACAACTCCCAAATCCTCCAGCTGCCATTTTAGACCCAAAGGGTAACACTTCTCAGCTCCGAAAAGGTCAGCTTCCTTTCCTCCGCTAGAAAAGAGATCTTTTCCTCAGACTTC